CTCATACATAGCTTAAATAGAAATGATCTCATAAAATGAATCTTTATCATGTAAGTTGTTGCCGGACATTACTAGTCCCACGACAATAGAATTAACTAATCATCGTCCCGTGATCACTTTACAGTACAATACCTTTTAACCCCAATCAAGCCGGACGATTGAGAATAGATCAGAAAAATTGTTTATTTATTGTCTTAGACGATAATATATCATCCTGGATAGAAGCGAAGATAAATGATCAGTATAAATTTTAAATATACATCCTTAACATTGCCCCTGAAAGAGTGTTCGATGCATCCTTAAGCCAATCTCAGGGCATTCAGCAGCGATGATCTGGCGTAGTCATAACATGATCATGATCATATTGTGACAATAAAAATAAATGTAATTTCCGAATTAATAAATTCCAGAGGAAATTTTTATTGGTAAAAAAATATATCCGGCGTGCATTGGATGTCCTGGATGTTATTTTTATTAGATCCTAGAATGATCTACCTGGATGCATGTCACCCAAAACAATAAATACTTACCTTACCGATAAGATTCTTAACAAATGTCTTATCCTAATTATTGAAAGACATATATCCATGAACCATTGACAAATCATCCCAGGAGAACAGAATTAGATATTTGCAATCAAGACACGACTGAACTTTAATGGACACGATACCATACATTAGGGTATTAACCTCTACCATGATAGAACACAGATTGGTCCAGCGACGATACAAATACAATCTACGGATCCGACGAACGATGTTACCAAGGCTAAAGCACAAACAACCTAGTTAAACACTAAGGCTAGATAATGTGCTCTAATGAGCTACAGCTAAAGTGATAGCCCAGGAAAAATCTCTGTCCAAATTTATAGAGTGGTATAAGTTTTTGTCTTTTTAGGTTACATGATACAAGACAGCAAATAAGCCCTTTACAGGAGCCAAGGAACCAAAGTCTATAATCTATACGTGTTACTATACGAGCAAGCAAATACAATAAGGTTTCATAGGAAGGTGATGCTCGCCAATACGAGATAGACGTGAAAAAAACAACATAGAAAAGATATATGAAACTGTCTGTACTTACAACTGAACTCCTCCAAACTATAATTCGGTGATGAGAAATAAAAAACAAAAGAAATGACCACACAAAATCTTATGACGTGGCTGAGCTTTCCATAAGTCGCAGTTGTGTAGCCTTAATTAAGACTACATAAGTGGGACCCCTGATTATATTTAAATTATCTAATGTGTCAGTTGAGATAAATGGAGTGAATTGCAGTGCCTTGGATACTTAGATAGATGTGTCTAGTATTTCTTAGAGTAGTAGAGTGTATATTGTTTATTCATACGATTTAGCAATTAGCCCATATAGAATATCCTAAATCGAAAAATGCCTAGACATGCAATGACTAAAATCAATTAGCAAACCTCAATCCTCGCACCTATGTTTATTGAGAAAATATCTGGGCAAACTGAACCATTTAATGAATATTGAACTTTTTAATAATATAGAGAAGGATTGATTCTAAATTGTTCCAATGCCCAACTTCACTATTGCATTAGGACCTATAAACTATTATGTAGATAGCATTATTACTGATCTAGCATCTGTATGTAAAATTAATAATACATATATCAGATAAATTTTTTGTTTACTATTTTACAGAAAGAGTTGAGGATGGCGAGCTGAAACCGAAAAATCAAAGCGATTACACGACAAAAGAACCCAAAAGTATCTACATTCCTTAATCTTGTAGAACAAAAAGGGATAGTTCTAAACGGAGAAATGTACCCTCCTTGGTGATTACTTGTAATAAACGTACTATAGCAAACTTAACATGATAAGACATTGACAGAACCAAAATAAAAGGTGAAAAATATTGACAAAACAGAATAGCTAGAAAATTGTCAATAAAATTCATAATGTTGATAAATCCCAAAAACTTTCTAGTTCTTTTTAAATAGGCTCAAAAAAACTCATATTTAATATCTAATATCCAAATCCATGAAATAACATTAGAATGGATAGAATCTAATCATATAAATTTTTTTCAAAAATCTCTTTTTTTATAAAATTCACTATATCTATATAGAAGGACTAATTCGGAAGGGAATCCTCCAAACTAGTCCACACTCGTTGTATCAGAGAGGATCTAAGACTTTAAAATAAAGATCGAGGAAAGATCTATATGACTCCAAGCTTTCTTATAGCGTAATTGAATCTTAAAACATGACAAGTGAATAGTAAAAGTATTATGAAGAGAAGAAATGTATTTTTAGCATGGACAAACTTGAAGCGAAGAAGAGTATAGCCACTAGCACACAACATCTAAGTCGCAAGATGCCAAGACTATGGGATGTATTGCACGCGGGGAAGAGCGAGTTGGAAAGGAAGAGTTATAGATGTCCGGTGATCTTCCAGTCTCCCTACGGTCGTTGATTCACGTCAAATGATGCTTCCAGCTAGTGGGAAAGATGGATGCACGATCAACGATTCTTGACAGATCCTTTTTAGATCAAAAATCTTTATCAGTGGATGTCTCAAAGAATGAGTTAGAAAATTAGGATGACGTCAATCTCCCGCTCAAGAGAGATATTGAGAAATAAGAAACCTGTCGATCAACATTCGGATGAAATCTTGCCATACTTAGGAGCTCGCAAAGACGAGTAGTAGTCGAGCTCAGAGTCGCGTGGTGTTCCGAGCATCGCCGCGAGTCAAACTATCGACGCTCGAACTTCGGATGCTCGAACTCAGTTCAAAGCTCCAAAAGTTCGACTCGAAAACCATCGCTGCGACACAGAATTAAGGCTCGTCGAGCGCCTGGTCGAGCTTACATACAAACAAAGCGAGCTCTTATCCTATAGAATATATTATAGTAGCCCCATACCCGAACCCAAGCAAAGCCGCCGAGCCCTCAGTTTACTACGATTCCCCTTTAGACATTCCTTCCATTTTGTTTTGTTTAGGGTTGAATATTACATTTTGACATTATTTTGAATTCCAACTTTATAATACCAATTATGAAATATTAAAAATCTTTGATAAATATACTAATCAATTATTAGAAAAGGTTTCCTAAATTTGAACTCAATTTGATTAATTCAAACCATTTAATTATGGAATTTCCTTTAACTTTTCATTTCAATCACCAAATCCCAAATCTCCACTACATTAATCCTACCACTATGGCCGACTTTGATGTCGCCGGTTTAACCCCATAATTAAATCAACCTAGGGATTTATTCCAATCCTTTCCACCCTCTCTTGGAATATATTCCAAATTCTCTTCCAAACTACCTTCTTCTTAGCCCCTTAAAAATGCCCCTGCTACCACCATCCTGACTTAATTTTCTTTCAAAGGATAGTCTCTACCTTATCGGCAATATCAAATTAAAATCTCTCCACCTCCCCTTCGTACGCGGTTCCGCCGCCGCCCTACTCTTTGAACCTATTTCTTCTCTTCCTATAAAATTAATTCTCAATTAAGCAAAAATACCAACTAGGAAGATAATTGAATTAAAATTCCCATCACATCTCCTTCCCAAAAATTTTGAAACCAAAATCTTAACCTATGCTACTCAACCCTTGGTACAGGGCCACACTCATTCGTTTTCTACTTACCCACCATTTCTTGCCCATTCTCTAGAATTACTCCTCCATCCTCAATAGAGGGGGTCTTCCAAGGGAGCCTCAACGATCGTCGTGCTCAACATCACTCAACCTCAAAGGACATGCCTCGACGACATCAATGGATCAATGATTAACGCGTTCATCCTCACCTACGACGAACAAGAAAGCTGTTTGCATTCTATCACTCGCCTTTTTTGGCGTCAACCCGCACACGACAAGCACTAATTAGAACAAACTTGGCACAGTTTTTAGTGGAATGATCATATCTCACCAGTGGATAAGAAGGTTTTAATTGCCAATCTCCTTGTGTTGCATATTTCATTTATCTAACTTACTCTTGTGTATTTGATAGATTCCATAAGATTTTGTTCACGGCGAAACCCTGTCACGAGCTTAGTAAACGTAGGGATTGAGTGCACTTTCATTTGTTTATAATCTTATTGTTAGATTAGGATTTTTTTTTTTTTTTTAAAAGCTATAACATTTGCATGTAGTTGATTTTCTTTGTTGTTTGATAATTCAAGCGCTTATTGTGCAACTTGGCCTAAACGGAAGTGACCGCTCTTACGTTTTATTTGATCGTTTTAATTTGCTAATAGTCCTAATCATAATTATTTTATTCAAAAAATCGTGCAAGTTCTTATCATATCACTTTAAGCATTGTAGACCTACATCATTATTGCTACAGGAAAGCCCTCTAAAAGAATACAGCACGCAATTCAGTGATTAATGAAGTAATTCTATCAATTAATGTACTGATGAATGGAGAGAATTCTAAACCTTTCAAACATAATTGATGGATGTTTTTGGCAGAAAGTTTGTAAATCATCAGACACATTGAACCTATGTAGGAAAAAGATTTGGACTGGGAGAATTTTTAACAAACGAATGAAGTTTTTCACCAATATTATACTCGTCAGCTAACATACCTTTCCAGTCCCTGAGCAATTAGGGCATCTTTGGGTTGTAGGAGGTTCAAATGGATGACCACAGATATGAGCAACTGAAACAGGTTCAGTGCTTGCACAGACACCACTGGCAGCACATCTGGCACAGGCCAAATATCCTGCATCAGAAACATGAAAAATACACGTCAGTAATACTTTTCAACATGTAGCAAGTAAATCTTGAGCCTAAACAAAGAAAATTCAGATTTTTTTTTTTTTAACATTCAACTAGTGTACAAACATATCTTCATGATGTTGTTAGAGAAAACAAAGAAAACATGGCATGGAGAATATTAGAAAGCCCACATTGAGACTTAGGTTTCGTTTGGGACGGCTTTCCTCCAGCTTCTTAAAGCAGTTTTTTAATACAAAAGTTAAAAATTTTTAACTAAAAAGCTGCTTTAAGAAGCAGCAAAAAAGCCGCCCCAAACGAAGCCTTAAAAATAATAAAATCAAGAAACTATATAGCAAGCCAACATGCCTTTGCGGGGCAATTTCACTTTATTTCAAAAACATCTGTTGGTCATATGAAAATCTGGATAGTAAATTACACCCTGCATTGGCATTGTTCTCTGACGAGGCCTACAATGGCCAAAATATTCAATCCTTAATACATACCAGCTCCGTGGCAGTACTTGCATCTCTTCTTTTGTTGTTGCTCGACATTGTTTACTTCAATAAGCATTAGGGCTGATATTACACCTACTGCTCCTCCTGAAAAAGATGATATAATAGGATCCACCTGACTGAAAAAGAGAGAATGAATCCAAGCTCTTCAAGTTTACTGAAAACCATTAACATTAGAAATAATCTTATTAAAAACCTTAATTGCAAAGGAAGATGCATGCTCTGTATAAAATCTTCATAGGAAGTGCCACCAAGCCCTAATTTAAGCTCCAGCTGTGAAAAAGAAAAAATAGAATTGCCACCGATAAATATAAGTTTAAAGAAGCATTCCTTTATCTTGATTAGAAATAACTCTTTCAAAAATAGAGACAAGCGAAAAAACGGGAATTGGATATATCTGTGAGCAAACGTCAACTACTAAAAGAAAAGATTAATGGCAATTGGCAGTGATGATGATCATAAAGATAAAGATAACTAGACGCATCTAAAAGGAATTCATGATTCAGGATCGGTAATAAAAATATGTGATTAATTGATTTGATTAACTCAAGGGTAGCCCAATGGGCTTACCCAGATCAATAATTTTGTTGGATTAGATAAAGATGAGGCATGGATGCCAGTATAGGCCAAAACCAGCCGATAAAAATGTCAATTAGTCCACTATGTGAGTCTACCAAAGGCCTAGCTACGTCACAAAAGGATAAAATACATCAAAATATCAACCGCATTTATCTATAAATTTATTATTGACTAAACCATAGACTATATATGTTAATTAATGTTAAGTAGAATAAATTTGCATCACTTATAAATCCAATCTCAAGCTAGGATATGGTTTACTTTAACCTGCTCTGGCATAGGTGAAGATTCCTGTAAACTTTCCTGTCTTGGACGTGCAGCAGGAAGAA